AAACAAATGTATCCCATTTCTCATTGTCCTCTACTCGTGCTATCCTTCTTCCTGCCATCCTGGCCAAGATGAAGTCGAAGGACAAAGAAAGCCATAATCCCTTCACCAAGAAAGTTCACAGCAATAGTAGCAGCAGTACCAGAGCTAGGGACTGAGCAACCCATGTCTTCATTTCATCCACACCAACCACATAGACCGAAGAAAAATAAAAAGGCCAACTCCAAAACCACTTTTACTTAAAAGGTAGAGTTCTTAGAGAGGGAAAAAAGTGGACTTATGAAAAATCTATAGGAAGAATCTAAAAAAAGAAATAATAATACAGCAGCGAAGATCCAGCCTCTTAGGTGATATTCAACACATTTTTCCAAAGAGATTAAAAACATGAAGTTTTTGCAAGAAATCTGATAGAAAACTGTACAACAGACTTAAAAATTTACACATCTGAAAAATATTCACAGTATTACATCAAATCCACATAGAAGACCCCAGTGATCACTAGGAAATCTACCACAGTCCAGTTTTTCTAACCCTATTAGGTCCAAATTCCGTGGAACAATGTGACAACCATCTGCTGCAGGTCTGAAAAATATTCTATCAAACCGTAGTTTACAGGTGGCCTCTATCGCCAAATTAGAGTTGGCTTGTGTATCCCAAGTATAACGGCAATGCTCAGGTTTGCCCAAAAACTCCCAGACATCCAAAATTTTTTCTGGTAAGCCACCTGATTTAGAAACCTAAAAAAGATGGAGAAACTTTTCATCAAATTTTTTGTAGTCTAAAAAATCTGCTTACTTTGCTTAGATGCAACATTTAATATTAAAACAGTTAAAACAATTTATTTAACAATCCCATACAAAATATTTAGACAACTCAATATAAAAATAACTCTGCTACACAGTCATGGGAAAAAGCACAAGTATTTACTTGTGAGTTAGGTTGAAAAAAAGGGTAAATAACTTGCTGTTTTGTGAAACTTTCCTCCATTTCCCTTACTATAGGGCAAGGATTCTTTGTTATTTTTATTTTTAGAGACTCCATCTCCCTATCTCACTCAGGTTGAAAATCTAGTAGTCACATTTGGGCCAGACCCCAATGCTGATCAGCATGAAAGCTTTGACAGACTCCCCTTCTGACCTGGGGGTCATCATTTGGTGCTGGCCTTAGTGCAGACACCCAATCAGCTTAACACATTCCAACTCAGAACTCCCAAACTCAAGCAATTCACCAGCCACAGTCTCTGCTAATAGCAGGGATTACAGGAGTATACTACCAAGGATTCCTGACATGGAGTCCATGAACATGCTTTTTAAAAAAAATTGATAGGGGCAGCTAGATGTTGAAGTGGATAGAGCACCGGCCCTGGATTCAGAAGGACCCAAGCTCATATCCGGCCTCTGACACATAATACTTACTAGCTGTGTGACCCTGGGCAAGTCACTTAACCCCACTGCCCAACCAAAGAAAAAAAAACAAAAATAAAAAAACCTGATAATTGTATTTCAAAATAATACGTTTCCTTTGTAATCCTAAAAATTTTGTTTTATGGTCTGGAATGAAAAAGCCAATTTTCAACCATGACTTAAATAACAGTTCAATAGGTGACACCCTGTATAAGTTCCAAGCATGCTCCAGTTCCATTTTTCCCCTCTGAAGATTCCTGCAGTTTTTCTAAGACTTACTGTACTTCATTCTCGAAGTTTTTAAAAGCAATTAACAGGCATATATTACATGCCTATCATATGCCAAGTACTATGCTAGACACTGGGGACACAAAGACAAGAATCAAACAATCCTTGCCTTCCATTCTACCAGAGAAGACAACACATATGCTTCTAACTAACTCCAAAATAAATCCAAGGCAATTTGAGAAGTCAAACAGAAGCTGAGAGTATCAGGAAAAACTTCACATAAGACGGGCACTTGAGGGATGGCTAGGTGGCACAGTAGATAGAGCACTGGCTGTGGAGTCAGGAGGACCTGAGTTCAAATGCATCCTCACACACTTGCCACTTCCTAGCTGTGACCCTGGGCAAGTCATTTAACCCCCACTGCCTCACAAAAAAAAAAAAAATGTGGCACTTGAGCTGAGCTTTTGAAGGAAACTAGGAAAAGCAGCACAATTCATCTGAGCATCAATAAAGAGGACTGCTCAGGGGCAGCTAGGTGGCGCAGTGGATAGAGCACAGGCCCTGNAGCTGAGCTTTTGAAGGAAACTAGGAAAAGCAGCACAATTCATCTGAGCATCAATAAAGAGAACTGCTCAGGGGCAGCTAGGTGGCGCAGTGGATAGAGCACAGGCCCTATATTCAGTAGGACCTGAGTTTAAATCCGCTTCAGACACGTATACATAACACTTACTAGCTGTGTGACCCTGAGCATGTCACTTAACCCCATTGTCTAACCAAAAAAAAAAAAAAGGACTGCTCTAATGAAAACCTACATTTAGACAGAGACTGAAT